AAAAAAATTTAAGTTTGTTTTTAAAAATTATTTTCTACTCTAATAAAAATAAAAGATATTTCTCAAAAATATTTTTCATTCATAAATCAAACACTAAAAATCTTTTCCGGAAAATATTTTCTACTCACCAACCAAACATGAGAAAATAAGTCAAAAATCAACTTGTTTTCCAAGAAAACATTTTCTATGGAAAACATTTTCCTTTATACCAAATACACCCTATAAGTAGCTGAATTTTCCCCAAATAGACACCCTATAAGTAGCTGCATTTTCCCCAAATGTTTCCAAGTGAAAACTTAAACACTTTAATACAACACATCAAATTTTGTAGGATTATGTTTTCTCGTCACTCATATTTGGTCGTCCCTACACAAACCTCCGTCGTAAACTTCCCGGCATCCATGTCTCCACCATCCACCGCCGTTGTCTACGACCAACACGGCCCTCCCGACACCGTCACAAGGTCCATTCTAGATTCACAATGTCCTCCTACCACCACCCCTACGTTGTAAAAAATTATACTATATATATACCGTTAATTTTTTTTATGTATATATAGTAAATGTTTATTTTATTTTTTTATATTTTAAATTACGTTAGTGAAAATTCTAATTCTAATTCCAACAGGGTTACGAAGATTCCACCGGTGGAGATGAATGAGAACGAGGTGTGCGTGAAAATGCTTGCAGCTCCCATCAATCCCGCCGATATCAACAGAATAGAGGGTTCCATAAAATTCTCTTTTTCTCCTTTATATATAAAAAATATATATATTATATAATATCAGTGTTACATGAATGAAAAAAAAATATTTTTCAAAATAATAGTTGATATAGTAATTACTAGGTTGTAGGTTTAATTAATTTCAATAAAGAAAAAAAAATAATCTGTGATTTCTTCGAAGGAAAATTACACTATATGAAGTTGGGCTTGGTTATATTTTTTTTTCTCTAAAGAATAAGGTTTAATGTAATAAATACAACATAAAAAGTGAAAAACAAGTTTAAAAAAAAAAAACTATTGCTAGTAGAATATGTTAGCCATTTTATGAGATTAGTCAAAGTGTGAGCAAATTAAGTCGCTATCATGAATATGTTAGGCATTTTAAGAAATTAGTCGAATACCATGATTTTATAAATTTCAAGTATTTTTCATTTTGGTTGGGGGGATTCATGAAGTTGTGCTTGGTTATATTTTTTCTAAAGAATATTAGAATAATCTTCAAGGTTGAGTGTACATAGATACAACATGAAAAGTGAAAAATGAGTTTAAAAAACATATTATAGGCCGTTTTCCAAATTTAAAATACAACTTCAAGTTAAATATAGAACTTTCATAATTGAGAAAAAGAAGTTAAAAAAAAGTGAACAATTTTTATGATCGAGTCCTTAAATTTTACTAATAATTGCATATCAGGAGTGTATTCGGTACTACCACCAATACCTGCAATTGGGGGATGGGAAGGTGTTGGAGAAATACATTATGTGGGCTCTGCTGTTATGGCTCTTTCTCCAGGAGATTTGGTTATTCATGCAGCTTATCTTTCAGGTAATTATTCAAACTATAGCTATATTTGATAATTACGTGTCAAATTATCATGAAATAGGATTTCCGTTACAAGTTTAGTCAGTATTCTCAACAACTTTAGTTCAAATCTTATAAATGATTATGACATAAGAATTAAATTCAGAACATGAGATTCTGTACCAAGAACATCGACTTCTCATGTCGATCTTCTGTGCAATCATCTTCGTTTAGTTTACTATTTAACGTCTCCCAACCTCACTACAATAAAAATAACTTTTAACGGAAATAAATATGCACGTTAACAAAGAGTGTTACAACTGTTACTGACATTAGTTAATTGTCATTACACCAAATGTCGTTATATGCTTTAAGGGACATTTTACAAAGAGTGTTTAGTCGCCGCTAAAAATATATATTTAGTGGCAATTAAATTATTATCATTAATTAATTGTTGTTAAAGATCATTTTTTATGTAGTGCCCCTAGTTATACAGGTACAACCCAAAAGCTTCCTCTTTCATATTGATGAAAGCGCTAGACACATAAAAAATTATGATTTTCCTTCCCAAAAGCGCATTTACAAAATAAAAAAAACTCGTAAAATTCAAATTTTGAACTCATAGTTTTATGTCTTTTATGTTCCAGGGACATGGCAAACCTATGTGGTAGAAGATCAAAGTTTATGGTACAAAATAGACAAAAACACTCCAATTGAATATGCTGCCACTATTTCTGTTAATCCTTTGAGTGCCTTGAGAATGCTTGAGGACTTTGTGGCTTTAAAACCAGGTTTATTATTTAAATTTCCTAATTAAAAAACATATTTAATTACTTTAATTTGATTTAAAAATTAATTAGTGTTTTCGATTAAACAGGGGACACAATTGTTCAAAATGGAGCTACAAGCATAGTAGGGCAATGTGTTATTCAATTAGCTCGAATTCGTGGAATTCATAGCATTAATATCATAAGAGATAAACCTGAATCTGATAAAATTAAAGAAAAATTAATCAAACTTGGCGCTAATAAAGTATTTACTGAAAGTGAACTCGAAGTCAAAGGTGTCAAAAATCTCCTGGTATGAATTTAACTTGTATATACTAGTAGTATAATTATATTTTTAATTATCGACGAATATATTAATAATATGTTGTAACGATCGATGACTTGTTGTAGGGTGATATACCTAAACCTAGTTTGGGTTTGAATTGTATTGGTGGAAATGCAGCTAATATGGTGGTAAAATTCTTAAAAGTGAGATACTTTTTTTAAATATTGTTTTCTTCAAAGTTAAAGTTTTTACTTTCTTTTTTTTTTGGTTAAATATTGAAGATATACAATATATTTTTTTATTTGTAAGGCAAGGTGGTACTATGGTTACATATGGAGGGATGTCAAAGAAGCCAATTACCATAGCTACTCCATATTTTATATTCAAGGTTAGTTTTCAAATGATCAATTATGAAATTTAAACACTAAGTAATTCTTTGGATCATATATTGAACGGCTATTGAGAATATATCGAAAATAATATCTATGTACGCTTTATTTATTTCAAACTTGACCATTTGTAGATTACTGAATATGTTGTTATATATTGAATTATCTTCTTTTTTTTAAAGGATATTTCATTGAAAGGATACCTGTTACAAGAAAAGAATTTAGATGAAGCACAATATAGGTGTTCGATTGATCATCTATTGGCCCTCGTTCGTGCTGGGGATATTGCAATATGAGTACAATTTCTTACTCTCTCGATCAATTAATTTTGTAATTCTTTAAAAAATTATTTTAAATTTTATATATATAATTTTAGTAAAAAAAAGAAAATATTTTGAATTTAAAATGAACAATGTAGCAATATTGATTTTTTTTTAAAATTTATTACAGGATGGAGATGGTACCTTTTAAAGATTTTCATATTGCTCTTGAAAAGGCAATGGGGAAACAAGGAAGTCATAGGAAACAAATTCTAAAATTTTAAAATAAATTAGCTTCGAAGTATTGACGTATATTAAGTAATATATAAATAATTGTAACAATAAGAAATATATTTTCCCCCTGAGCTTGGGGATATATATTTTTCAAGTTGAATTTTGCCATTTCACTTCTCCCTTCATCATTTAATTTCTCGCATATAGTTTATTATATATGTTAATAAGTACTAGTATATAAATATTTAAAATTTGATATTAATTAGATATTATATTATTTATTTATTGTTAATAAGATAAGGTTTAAATATATTATTAAATTTTAAGGAAAGACTTATTTATGTTATTCGTTAAAAGTTTGGCTCATCTATATCATTTTCGTTTGAGAAAAAGCTAATTCATGACATTATTTGTTAACTAAAACAGTTCTATTTTGCAAAACCATTTTTTTACACGTGGTCAATTATGAAAAACCATTTTGACACGTGGTCAATTATGATTCGGTCACATCATTTATTAAATTTTTTAAAAGGGAAATGGCTCAAATTAAATATGCCATCGAACTTAAGAAAATGTTCATATATGTCATCTATGCTATTTCAATTGACAAATAATGGCATGGATGAGCCGTTTCTCAAACAAAAATAGCATAGATAAGCTAAACTCTAGCATAGATAAACTAAACTCTTAACAGAAACTTGACCATTTGTAGATCACTGAATATGTTGTTATTTATTGAATTATCTTCTTTTTTTAAAGGATATTTCATTGAAAGGATACCTGTTACAAGAAAAGAATTTAGATGAAGCACAATATAGGTGTTCGATTGATCATCTATTGGCCCTCGTTCGTGCTGGGGATATTGCAATATGAGTACAATTTCTTACTCTCTCGATCAATTAATTTTGTAATTCTTTATAAATTTACTTTAAATTTTATATATATAATTTTAGTAAAAAAGAAGAAAATATTTTGAATTTAAAATGAACAATGTAGCAATATTGATTTTTATTTTTTTTTATTTATTACAGGATGGAGATGGTACCTTCTAAAGATTTTCATATTGCTCTTGAAAAGGCAATGGGGAAACAAGGAAGTTATAGGAAACAAATTCTAAAATTTTAAAATAAATTAGCTTCGAAGTATTGGCGTATATTAAGTAATATATAAATAATTGTAACAATAAGAAATATATTTCCCCCCTGAGCTTGGGGATATATATTTTTCAAGTTGAATTTTGTCATTTCACTTCTCCCTTCATCATTTAATTTCTCGCATATAGTTTATTATCTATGTTAATAAGTACTAGTATATAAATATTTAAAATTTGATATTAATTAGATATTATATTAATTATTATTGTTAATAAGATAAGGTTTAAATATATTATTAAATTTTAAGGAAAGACTTATTTATGTTATTCGTTAAAAGTTTGGCTCATCTATATCATTTTCGTTTGAGAAAAAGCTAATTCATGACATTATTTGTTAACTAAAACAGTTCTATTTTGCAAAACCATTTTTTTACACGTGGTCAATTATGAAAAACCATTTTGACACGTGGTCAATTATGATTCTGTCACATCATTTATTAAATTTTTTAAAAGGGAAATGGCTCAAATTAAATATGCCATCGAACTTTAAGAAAATGTTCATATATGTCATCTATGCTATTTCAATTGACAAATAATGGCATGGATGAGCCGTTTCTCAAACAAAAATAGCATAGATAAGCTAAACTCTAGCATAGATAAACTAAACTCTTAACAGTCAACAGATGACATAGATAAGTTTTTTCTCAAAATTTGATAGCATATTTGAGTTTTTTTTTAATTAATATGTGACATTCACTCATCAATTATTATAGTAATATTTTTGGTTTGAATTTATATATATATATAGAGAGAGAGAGAGAGGTGGTTTAAGGCATTAGGTACTCTCTCAATTTCAATTGGTATGTGCTACTTTTCATTTTTATTCGTTTAAAAAGGACTCTTTTATTTATTAGGAACTCTTTGATTTCATTTTTTACCGAACATATTTAAGATCAAAAGATTAAAAATAAATAAATAAGGTACTCTCTCAATTTCAATTCGTATGTGCCACTTTTCATTTTTATTCGTTTAAAAAGGACTCTTTTATTTATTAGGAACTCTTTGATTCCAATTTTTTACCTAACATATTAAAGATCAAAAGATTCAAAAAAAAAATTACTTAAATTTTGTGTCAAGTTATAAAAATATGACAAACAAATAGAAATGGAAAGAGTATACTCCCTAGATTAGTTCACTTTTACTTGTCATTTTTCACATATCAAGAATAAATAATTACTTTTTCCATGTTTTACCTTTAGTATTAATTACTTATTCCCCAAATTATTTTTCAAGAGTTAATACTAAATATCAATTAATAGGGGTAATATGCTAATTAAAATATCGATTGTGTCAATTATTGTTTTTTTAATGATGGTGTCATATCCAAATTTGACAAATAAGGGTAGGTGACGAAAAAAGGGAAATGAGAAAGCGTACGTATTACACAGTTGGAGTATCATCATGTCACGACCCAAAAATGGACGTGATGGCACTCATCTTATCCCACCAAGACAAGTCAGCCAAAACTCAACCTTTACGATAAAATGCGAAAATTTATTATCAACTTAAAAATACCCCAAAACCTGGTTGTCACGTGTACAAGCCTCTAATGTGTTATAACAAAATTGAAAGAAAATACAAGTCTCAAATGACATTGTTTCTAGAATAGAATAAGATCATAATTAAGGAGAAAGAAGGTCCGCTGAAATGACAAGCAGCTACCTCACAAACCTCCACAAGAAGCCTCAGACAAGGAGAAGAGAAAATATCACAAAGGTCCGGGCTAGTAACCTACCAAAAATGTAGTAGCAAGAGGTGAGTATCAAACCACACGGTACTCAGCAAGTAAACTTCTAAACACAAGCTAAGGGAATAGAATACAAGTATTCCTTACACCTCAACCGAACCTCCACAACTACAACCTGCATAAAACCAGCCCAACCTAACAGTTCACAATTTATATAGCACACAGCTCAACAACAACACTCTAACAATTACATATCCTCAACAACAAGCTCAATATTCATCAATCACAACTATCACATGCATAAAACCAGTCCAACCTAACAGTTCACAGTTTACATAACACACAGCTCAACAACAACACTTTAACAATTATATATCCTCAACAATAAACTCCTATGCATCAATCACAACTTCCACAGAAAGGCACTCACAAGATCAGCCACACACAAGATCAAGTCATCAATGATAAAGATGTGCATGCAATGAAATGCATGTACTCCCTTCGTCCATTTTTATAGTTTATCTAACATAAACTATAAAATAATTTTTTTACTTAATTATGTACTCCCTTCGTCCATTTTTATATGGCATCTTTTTCTATAAATAGTTGGATCACAATACTTGTCATTTTATAAAATTTTTGCCTATTATACCTTTGATAGAGTAGTTAATTAATCTTGAAAATGTATTCATCATTTATTATAAAATTGACTTAAGAAAACATTAAATAAGAATAAAAGGGTAAAGTTACATCATTTCTTAATGCAAGCAGAGGCGAATCTAGGATTTGGAGGTCCTGGGTGCCACAATGTTCAAGTAAGATAAGCAGGTCGGTTGCTTTAATTTTGGGTTACAATTTGAGTCTTTTGTCTTTTTTCGATTCTTATAAACAAATCGATCAAACATGCATGTTAGTAATATTTAAGGTTTTAATATTATGAGATTAGAGATAACTAAACAATTCAATTTTT